TCTCATGGTTATTAATATTATTTTTATTTATACCGTAATCATATATGTAAGCGTCCCTCGTAGTTTTTGCTGCATATTTATACTTTCTACTGTAAATGCAAACTGTCCTTCATTAGATGACCCTACAAAACAAAACAAAAAAACAAAATATGAAAAACAATTTTACTAAAGTAACAAAACAATAGTTTCAACACTGCCCAGATGGAGTCTTGAGAAGAAAGACAAGGATCCCAAAATGAAAAGTGCAAAGACACTAATAATTGACCTTTGACTCCTATCTATTAGATACTCAAATATATTGTGTAATCTCTGATAATGGTAAATGCTTCTATATAGTAAGCAATTCCTCAATTATAAGGGAATTGAGTTTCACCTGGTAATAACTGAAACAGTACAGGAACACTATCACGAGATGAATAACCAATCTGAAAACACAAGTTGACAAACCATTTGATAAAACTATTTAAAAATGGCTGTAGTACTGTCTAAATGATGTTAAATTGACATATTTAACGATGTTAAATTGACATATTTAACATTTGATAACAATACACATCTTCATTTCATGGAGTCATGTGTTAACTGTCTTTATAGGTGAATATCTCTATCAATACAAAACATGCTTTCCCCAATTAGACTTTATTGAGAATTGATAGTATCAAGATCTTATAAGGTAAAGAGAAAGAGGATATTATTACATGGGGGTGCAGAGATATGGGTTTTATCTTCTAGTGTTATTTAAGGGGTACATAATGTCATTGAAACAATGGTCAAATAAGAACACTTTAACCCTAAATACAGACTATAATAAATGGATGTTATTAATGATAACATGGGTTTTTACTGCACCACCTCTACATAATCACTTACAGGTCTGATAAGCTTTGTATTCAAAGAATCTAGTACATTAAACTCCAGTGACTTGATATGAAAATTTGTATGATTGCTACAAGAAAAATATATTTATTACAATAACATTCAGGGCATCTGAAAAAATACTAGCTTGGCTAAGTAAAACTGGACAAGAACTTCACACTACAGAGAAAATTAGGCTAAGCAATGGCATTATATACAAGGCCACAATGCTTTGCACACTGTCTTTGTAATGCAATTAGTGCCAATTGTTCTACTAATCTCCAAAGAGATTAAAAATCTGAATAACAAAGAAAGTATGAAAGATGACATTCAGTTTACTAATTACACAATACAATAGAAAGTGGGCAATACATTCTGGTCTTGGTGTGCTAATTCATTCATTTTACAAAATTGCTGTAGTGTTTATGTCTACTAGAGTAAAATATTTTAATAGATGGCAAAAACCAATTTAAGATCACTATAGCATTCAAACATTATTTCAAAATAAACAAATTGATGTCACAAATATATAGAGTCATTTTCTTTTCYCTGAAATGTGAAGCCTTCGTCCACTGCAGATATACTTTGCCAAGCATGTATTGTCTTCATTACTATATGCTATTTTATACACTTTCATATATACATTTTCATAATTTTTAACAAAAATTAAGTTTCACTTGCAAAATTCATGTGATAATTGGATGTTTGATCAAATGTTCTAGAATGTGTCTTACCTAAAGACTATTGATACAACCAACTGGCTTCTATTTTGAGCTGTTACTCTTGTTTCATATGTCTAAAAGCAAACAAAGCTTCAAATATATTTTTGTCTTCAGGGTTATGAACTAGTCTACATGTGCTGTAATCATGAGTCCTCTTGGACTTTGAACATTTTATGTCATCAGGAGTGAGTCAATAAGAGGACATTTATGCCATGTACAACCATGTACAACCATGTACAACCATGTACAACCATGTACAACCATGTACAACCATGTACAACCATGTACAATGTCAATAATGAGCTGGAATAATACAATACTTAAATCCAGGACAAGCTGACAGTTTTAGGTAGAATAGGATGAATGAGAGACCGAATATATTCATTCTAGTTGATATTCAACATCGAATAGAATAGTAGATTACATGAGAGCAATATTTTGGTTTTATTGCAAAACCATCATCAGGCTAATAGTTTTGATGATGGTTTTGCAATAAAACCAAAATATTGCTCTCATGTAATCTCCTAGTCTATTCGATGTTGAATATCAACTAGAATGAATATATTCCGTYTCTCATTCATCCTATAATACAATACTTACCAGCTTTAAAGAGCTGTTTTCAGCAAGAACTTTGTAAGTTGAAAACACAGGCTTGAATAAGGAAATATAAAAGATTTGATTAAATAAAATTAATTGCATAAGAAGACATGTTTATGACTAAATATTTTAMAATTGCAGCTAAGAAGAGTCATAATAAAAACTGAATAAAAATATTTTGTCGAAAGCCTAAGATTTTAATGAAAAACGCAGACGTTTCGGYCAGAACTCTAACTTTCCTCAGTGTGTTGYAATAAAAGAGCTAGGTTTGCATGCGTGAGTTCATGTGTTGAAAAAAAAATTAAATTAGCCCACGCGATTTACATGTTTGTAACATTACGAAGCAAAAGACATTTAGTTTTTTTAGTTTCAGATTTGCTATTCACCTGTGGAGYGRACTGTACATCTTTGTTTTCTATTGTCTCATCCTGGTTGATGTCAATGCTGGGTTCAGGCTGTGCTTCTACCRCTACTGCATTGTCTGATTTATGCTTTTTGCCTTTTTTCTTATCCTTTTTGTCTTTCTTTTTCTTATGTTCTTTGCTCTACAAACAATGAATATAAAGTGTATTATTTTGAGCTGGTGTACAAGAAGCAGCAGAATAAGAAGTCAAAGAAGGGCATGAAGAATTAAGACAGTGTTAAAAAAATACAGAAGACCCAGAACAAAAGACACAATTTATAATTAATTAAAACACAAAGAGATCATGTACAMAAAAACGATACTGAAACTAACAAACAAAACAACAACAACAAACGGAACAAGACCACATCAGAAAATTTAAATGAAAACAATAAACATGCAAAACAGTTCATTAAACATGCACAATATACACAGCAACAAACTACAATCTCCAGCAAAAAAAATGAGACACCCTCAATTGTTAGGTCCTATACCCCTTCCCCCTCGGCAATGTTGATTGCGGAYGRCAAAAAGAMGCGATTTCCTAGCAAAACCCGAAGACATCATTCTAACAACATTGAACTAGGGGAAGGGATCTCGAGTGACCCGTTTATATTGCAGAAGATTGTAGCAATAACAACAGCACAATTTGAACAACATCAACAGCAACATCAAAGTAAGTCACTATAAAAAGAACTGACAACTTACAATAAACTATACAACTCACCTCAGATGATTTCCTATCACGGTGTCTTGTAGTTTTTGTACTTTCTGGGCTGGCAGAAGGCACTTCCATTGGTTCCTCAACCTTTACCTGGAACCAAAATACAAAGGATTATCAAACATACAAAATTCTCCTTTATACAAACATGCTGAACTTTGCTTAACAATTTTAAAAGTTTTACAAACCTTTGTCTACAATACAATATTTTCTGTAGACTACGTTATTTAGTTTGATTATAAAACTCTAACTTTTCAAACACTCTTGCAATTCTTCTTTTTGTCAAATCAAGAGAAAGACAAAGCATTGTTGTACAATACATGTATTTGTTTACAAATTAACCACTTGAGTGCAAAAAATTTGTGATATATGGTAGCTATACTTAGCGTTATAATACCAAATTCACTATGTATGTCAAGCACAGTACAGTGTAACTAACACATACAAGGAAAACCTATGGATAATTCATACCCTCAAACATAATAATTATGGAGTGTCAAAGGTTTTAAAGAATTATAGGAACGTAAATTTATACAACAATAAGAAATGGATGACTTACTGCTGGGGCTGATTCACTGCTGCCTGACAGCCAGAAGTCCATGTCATCAATCTAACAAATGAAAAAGTATTAATGAAATGTCAGTAAGTTATTTCACATATTTTTAAAGACAAGTGTAAAATGCAGTTTTTCCTAAGAGAGTCACCTTTTCAGTGTCTGGTTCTGGTGCAGGAGTAAACTCTGGTTTGTCATCTGTTATTTCCTCTATATTGTCATCAGCTGGTTGAATGTCGTCTGCGTCATCACCATTCATCATGAGATCTGGCTCCTCTGCAATCTCTGTTAATACCAGCACAAAATGACATCAAAACAACATA